TTGCAAGCATCCAGAATGCCTCAGCTGCAGGACCTGGAGGGTCACTTACTGGTTTGCCCACTCTTGTTTGAATGCCCTTTTCCCCAGGTGATGACCCTCTGCCAGGGTGTGGCTCTGTATATCAGAATGCTTTGTCAGGCCTGAAAACTTAAAACTTATCTGGGATTCATTTCCCCTGGCCACAGGAGCAGCTTTCCCTCTTCCCTTGTACCTCTTTCACAGTGGTGATCCCTCAGCTTACCTGCTCAAGTGGCACTGTGGATCACCTGGATGTTGCAGCAGCATGAAATTGTACTTTTGCTTCTGATGCATGGCATGAACTCGAAATGAGCAGATACAGATTTCGTCTGGAAGAGGCTACAGGTTCCTCATGTTCTCTTTAGGTCCTGCCTCCCCTCTTTCCATGGATTATTGGCTAGAAAATCGCTTTGTATTTATTTGTGAACCACTTCTCTGTAAGTCCAGCAGAGCTGTTGTAGAGGAGCCTGCACGAGTTTGTGGAAGAGAAATCCTTGAAGGATGTTAAACTGCTCTAGCTCAGGAAACTGCTGAGCTGCAAATCCCTGGGGACTCGGCTGCAGTCAGTGCTCCAAAGAGCAGCAGTTCTGCAGTTCTGCAGTTCTGCTCTGCCCTGGGGACCTGCTTTTGGTCTCCATGGAAAGCAGGACTCTGCCCTGGGCCTTTGCACTGGCTGCAGTTGCCTTAGATCAGATCTCTGCTGAAGGAATCCCTCTGGCATCTTCCCACCAGGGTCCATCTGGTTTCAAGGCCAAATGTGAGGAAAGCACACCAACTATTCAAAAGGGAATTTTCAGGAAGACACAAATGTAGCTGTCCAAATGTTTAAAATTACTTGTAAGTTGGACAGAGGCAGTGTTGTGATAATGGCAAGAAGCAGTGCTTTGAATCCAAATAAATACAAGGCTATCCTTTCTATTCTGTGCCTTATTCTTTTAAAATACACTGTGCTATTTTCACCTGAATACTGATTACATTTGCAGTATTTGGTTAAAAGCTCTCAGATATAGTTGTGTCTTAGGAAGTTTTCTTTCTTTTCAGTAATGTGCCTTTTGCTTTTCTGGTGTTGTGCTCTAACCATAAAAGCAAATGAAAATTTTGTATTTCTGAAGCAGTGAAGTACAACATGCAGTAATCCACTGATTAGAAAATAATAAAGATATGGAGGTTAAGTTTGAAGGGATAAAGAACTGGTGAACAAACAATGAGTATATTAGGGCAATGCAGTAAAATACAGAAATAAAATTTCATATATATAAAAGGTCAGATAATTTTTCTTTTTCTTTCTAATGTAGAATAGGGAATTTGAAGGGAACAAAAGTCATATAAAGACTATTCTTCTAAAAGTGTGTTGGTATCATTCCTCCCAAAGTGTGTGTAAATATTATATAATATATATATATATATATATATGTGTGTGTGTGTGTGTGTGTGTATGTTTTACTAGAAATATTTACTTTTGTCCTGATACTTGGTAGGAGATAATATCCACAGAGGTCTGGATCGTCCACTGTTTTCTTCTATGCAGTGAACTTGGAATCCACATTTAAGTATTCACTGTCTTTCTGAATTATACATGTAATAGTCTGCTCAGTGAAATGTAAAGCCATCATAATAGTCTTAAAACCCAAATGATCCAGATTCACCCCAGAATGGCTGACTGAGCAATTGTAATAGCACTGCTTCTGTGTGAGGATTAGCTAAATTCTGCTCCTTTTATCCACAAAGCTGGATGAATGTGCAGTGTTGCTGTCCACCGCCTTACTAGAAAGAGATCTGTCTTGCTCTCTGATTCTTATTTCTCTGGTGTACTGACTCATACCCTTCTTAAAATACCTCATCAAGAACCCAGTGCAGTCCCCAGAGCTGAGTCTGTAAACACAGCCACGTTTACAACATGGAGAGCCAAATTTCTTTCTGTGTGTGACAGCTCATTTGCATTATCTAAATAGTGAGTAATTCCTGTAAGCAGGGATTCAATTTTCATGTAGAAACAGTGTGCAAGTTTCACAGTCCTGTGCTTAGTGATCTTTGTTTCCCTTCTGCTGGTGAGTAATGTAAAGTGGTGAAGGACAGACCGTAACATGAAGAATTTACAAAAGAGTTGAAATTGAAAGTAGACAGCTCTCTCTTTTGTATCTCATTGTGCACAGTGCAGGTTGTTGCCCAACACAGAAACATTAAGAAGCTATCTGTTAAAGCTACAAAGGTAAAATGGAGGAGGAGGAGAGCAGAGAGAGAGAAATTATGCAGCACAGGCAGGGGAGCAAAGCCTTTTGATACCGTACTTTCAGACTCAAAACTTAGATTAATGAGGACAGAGCTTCTTAAATTGCTTTGGAGTACTGCACACAAACTTCATCTGAAAGGAAAAGGACACTTTCAATGTAACCTTCACTCCATACTCTGAACAAGCTGCTTGCTACTAGTGTAGAAAAATCTCAAATGTCTCTAAATATTAGAGCATCAAGTGCCAAACAAAGAAAGAATAACTTATTAAGGTGTTAGCACAATGTGAGTGACCTTCTTGATGTGACATTTTTTTGGCACAAGAAACACCTCCAGCAGATGTTTAGTAGTTGCAGCTATTTGAGAAGACTTTTCTGCAGAAGTGTTAGCCAGATCATTTAAACAACATAGAACAGGTTCTCTAGCCACACAGGTAGCAGCGGATTTTTATGATAAGGATGTATAAGAAAAAGGAGGTACTTCTTTCTGTCAGAAGTAGAAATGCAGAGCCTCTCTACACCTTACTGCCTGTGTGCTCTGGGGCAAACCTACCTCATTTCTCTTACCTTTACAGTTGTGGGGTTCTTTGGGTTGTTTTGTTGTTTTTATTTCACATCATGTTAGTTCAAAAATTTATCCATTGTGTCTAAAATGTTTTGAGCATCCCACTGAAAAACAGGCCCAGTCTTACATTTGAGGGCAAAAGCAGCCTGTCCTTGTCCAAGGGCTTTTTTACCCAAAGTGTTATTTTGTGTGCTGTGGCAGGAGGATGGCACAGCATAACCTCTGTGTTGGCAGAAGGAAATTTGTGATGGGAGGTTGTTTAGAGGTGTGAAGGAAATGTATTTAGTCACGATGATTTCAGATTTGAAAGCATCCCTTGGTGTGTCTGCAGAGGGGAATAATCCTCCCAGTACTGTGCTTGGAGGGTGAGGAACGACCTGAGTGAGCCTCAGTGCCTGGGTTGGATCAGTCACTCCCATCCCACTGGCATTCTTCAGATGCCAGGCTGCTAGAGACTAGGGAGATGGAAGAATGCCTTTCTTTTTGACCTGAAAATGCCCTGTGGACCTAAGAAACCCATTCTGAACAGCATGTCTTTGAACTCAATATATTTCTAGGAAAGCTCTCTGGCTTTTGAGCAATCCATTGCATTTGTATTTTCTGATGAGGAAACTAGAACTGATCAGGAATTTTCTGAAAGTCTAGATGTCCTGTGTTTTGTGGGAAGGAAAAGAGTGGGTACAACTTGAATCCCTTTAGATTGCTGTCCTGATCAGCACCTACCTTTAATGAGCAGCTCCTGGAGTCTGGAGCCTCTCAGGTTTTGCCAGTGCCCTGGAAGCGATGCCGTTCCTGACATATTTGCATATGAAAGAATTTCAATACTGGAGTAACACAGTAGAGTTTTCCTCTCTGGCAGGAGAAAGAGCAGAACACAGTTCACAAAATTCCATGCACCAGAGCTATGGTACTTCTTTGAACTGGGTCCCAAGTTCAGAGGCTTTGCTACCAGGGTAAGTACTGGTGTAGTCTCATTTCTGCTGTAACTGCCCGGGGCTTTTCCAGAGCCATGGGACCATTTAACTGTTCGCAATGTGTTTATAGGGAGAGCTGCTTTGACATGCCTGATTTTCCTAGATTAATTTTATATTGTAGGCTCTAAAGGAGGGGGAGAAGCACTGCTTTCTTCAATGAATAAATATTTTCAGGAGAAAATTTCAAGTGACATATCCCATTCTTCGTTTTTTAAATGATGAGTGGTGAAATGGCTTTAGAATAGGAGAGGAAAGCAGTCTTTTTCTCCATGTAAAAAAGTGAAATTAAAGCAAGCTGCAGCACCTGAATAACTCTGCTAAAGGACAAAAATTAATTTCAGCTAAAAAGCTTTAAGTAGTGTGGAGACTATAGTATTATGTATATATAATATAGGATTTGTTTATCAATTTGGATGTTATCTGTTCCCAGAGAGGCAGACCTCTATTTAAATAAGGTCACTGGGCAGAACAGAACCAATATCAACATCTCCCAATCCCTGCTAACAGAGAGCTCTTGTCCTGTGAAACAGAAGACTGGGATGTGTCTCCCTTGCACAGCCTCTCCTCTCCTGAATGCCCCTGTGGGGAAGGTTTGCTGCTTTGTCCCTTGGTTTCCATGGGTGCTCGTGCCCCCTTTTGCCTGCACAGCTCTGCCTGCAGCTGAACATTGACTCTTGGAATTGCTGCTGTCTTTGATTCTGAGCCCAAACATGGCCCATGTCCAAATGGCTGATTGATGAGCACCATCAGAAATCTAAAAGGCTCTATCCAAATCAGTCATGATTTCTATTTGAAGATGAGGTGATTTCTGCTTCAGTCCCTCAGCCTGGTAACTGGAAGAGAATTCCTTGAGCCTTAGAAGCTGAGCCCATGAGCCACAGCAGCTTTAGGCTGAAGCTGCAATTACAGTTAAAGAAGTGACTGGGGAAGGAAGGGGGCAGGTGGATTTTTACATATGAAGTGTTGAAACAGAAGAACAGACTCAGTCCATGACAAACATTTTAAAGAATGTTGCTCTCAGTATTCAGTTCACCTCATGAGTATCTTCACTGATCTGTTCTTGGCATGGAGAACTGCCAGTGAATGAATTCTCAGACTCTGAGATGCCTCCCAGTCATATTGATATCATTAAATGTTCTTGGTTTTCTGTATGGTGCACTTGTTCTGGTATGCTCTTCACTGAAAACTTTCCCAAAGCATGGTGTGGGGCAAAGTGGCAGGCATTGTTCTTACAGCTTTCCTCTTTCAAGTGTTATTTTTATTTTGCAAGAAGAAAAGCTTGACCTGCAGGAGTAGGAGAGTAATGAAAGAAACTTGTGGCAGAGACAGAAATGGAGAACTGTAGTCTGTGAAATCACTGATGTGGAATGGGTAGAAACTGTAGCATTGATGCTCTGGCTGCATCTGCACTGTGTGTGACTGTCCATTAGTGAAGCTGCTCTCTGCTCACCCCTGGCTGAAGGCTGTCTTAGGCCAGGTGAATATACTTCTGAATATACTTCGGAATTTTTGCCCTAGCATTGTATCTCAGCTTGTTGGAATTTTGTGAAGTTCTTGGACATCACCCTCTAGAAACAAGCGGTACAACCTAACTGTAAATAAAAAAAAATATTTTCCTTGAACTGTTTTGGAGAAGTAGATTTCTAACTAGAAGTCTTCTCACCAGATTTCTGTTTACTATGGTCAAAATAGTCACATCGCCCTGCATTTAGGTTGTAAACCCCTGACTCTTTCAGCTTCATATATGGTGAGGATTTTTTCAATGCTTCTGATCATTCTTAGTATTTGCCACCCATAAAGCACCCCATCATGTTTTCCTGCTTCTTTTCAAAGTCAAAAACCCCCAATCCAATAAAGAAGATTAGATTTCTGAATTGCATCTATGGAATCAATTTTACTTTCGTAATTTATTTTCTGTATAATGTATTTTGCATCTTAGGGTTTTTATTATCTTTTGTTTGGGATTGTTTCTTCATTCAGTTATCCGCAAAGACGTACATGTCTGTCACGATGTAATGCAGGGCCTGTAAGATTCCTTCCAGTGTAGAGTATTTGGCATTTAATTGCATTTGGATCTCATGTTTGACAATGTTGCTTGCTCACCAGGCTCACTCTTAAGAGCTTCATACTCTTCCTGTCATGGTTAACCTGAATAATTTCATGTAATCTGTGTATTTTGTAACTCCATTCACCTTTGAGGGAATGGGTTGGATCTGGGTTGGAGCAGAATATTTGAACATGTTGGAAACTACCTTAGGAACTGAGTTCTAAAGTTAGTGCTGCTTAGCTGTATTTGGAGGGTATGATTTTTTCCTGCAATTTGAAATTAAACCCAGGATATAACATTTCACTGATCAAATGTTGTTGCTGACATGCAGCTCAAAGATGATTTGGGGTCTATAATGGCAGTTTTTCTTTTCTTTTTATGATTTTTTAAATATAACAGATTTTTAGATTGATTCTAAGTGTCATGAACACTGACAATGTTGTGTGAGAATCCCATGTTGATTTTCTCAGGTCATTAAGAGAGAGGCTGTGTTACTGCTCTGTTTGTAAATGATGTTGCTGTATTGTTCATTTCCTGCTTTCCTCTGTTCTTCTGAGACGGTTTTTCAGTTTGTGAACAGTCTGTGATGTACTTAAACTGATGCAAGTAAAGGATTTGGATTGGTGAGAATCATTTCAAACTCTTTAGCTTGCCAGTTGAAGTGCAGTACAAGAAGTGTTTAAGATCATATTATCAAAATGTCAAAGAATCAAAGGTAATTAAAAGCCCTGATCTGGGTCCCAGGCTAATCAAGAGAAGCCTCATTAGCTGGAACTCAATGGTTATTTGTAAGCTAGAGAAATCACAAGTTTTAAAGGATTTGCAAGCCAAATAAACTAAATAATTTTGACATCTTATTTCGAAGTTTTTCTACCTAAAAGCATTGGCCTGTGTTTGATTCCCTGTATTGTTCCATACCTTAGTTTTGTTTCTGAAGTAAACATTAGTACTGGGGCATCTAGTCATGAAGATCCTGTTTCAGAGGTACACTTAATTCTGCAGAAAACAATGAGCAATGTTTTATTTAAATGCTCTTTGTATTATAAACTCCAAGGATGATTGGGGAAAAGTGGGAAAACACATGATGGGGAAAGCACAATAAATGTGTTCAGATTTTACTGAACTTGAAAGTGTATCTTCATTCTATGGATCATTCCATATTTTGTGTATTTCATTTATTATTATGTATCTAATAATACCTGAATAGTGTCTTTAATAGCTGAAATAGATAATTAGGAAGCATGAGAGGAAAGTGTTCTTATAGAAACATGAATCCTGTGTAACAATCACATATATGAAATAGGGCTAATGCCTGATTTTCTATTTTCCCCCGAAATAGGTTGCTTTAAAATTCCTTTTAGAGTGGTTATAAGGACTCCTGTATATCCTTCATAGCCACAGAACAAAATATTTACTTTCAAAGCTTGAATGTACAACCAAAACATTCTCATGAACATGTGCTTTAGCAGACATAAGGGAAAGAAGAAAGGAAAGCTAGTATGTCTGCATCTAGAGATACTCCTCACATTCAGATTCTATGATTATTGCATACTTTAAAAATGCAGGGTTTACAGAAGGCCTATCTTTCATTAGACTAGCAAGAATAGCAGGAAGAGGAAAAGGGCTTTTGTGACAAAACTTTTTAGGTTTCAAACTTTTCTAGTTGGTCTAGAAGAAGATCCTACCTCTCCCTATGTTATTACTGTGGTTTGCTAAGGAAAAAATACCAATATGTTGCTGGACTTTGGGATTGTAGAGGAGCTGGTTTTGCTTTATGTCAGTAAGCACAGAGATCTGCTAGAAGCAAATGCAGCTAACATTGCCTCCATTCAGTAAATGCAATGAATAAATTAATTCAGTCAGTTATTCACTGAAATACTCAAAATGGAAATATATGGAAGGATCCCACACAAACAACTGTGGTATATGTGGTGAGTTTATCACCTTGCACTCTGATTTTTGCAAGCTATTAAAAACTACATTAAATCCTGGAGGAAGTCAACACCCAAGTGGTGAAAGTATTGGTATCAGAGTTGTGGGGAGCCAAAGCAGTGTGCATCTTTGAGAGTGGCTCAGATAATGTGTCTGTTGGTTAAAAGTACTGAAAGAGCAGCTAGCCCCTGTATTCATAATCCATAGTACCCAATTTCTTCCACCTGTCCTACAGCTTCCACAAGCTTTGCCAAGCAGCATCGTGCAGGTTTGCCTTTGCTGCTTTGGAGGCGTGGAGTGCCTGTCAGGGCCGTTCTTGCCTTGCATCTGTGTGACACCTGGATCTAAACCCCTCAACTTGTGCAGCCAGCAGGTCACCCAGCCATGGCAGTGTGAGTGTGGCTCAGCCTCTCCTCCCTCTCCTCCCTCTCCTCCCTCTCCTCCCTCTCCTCCCTCTCCTCCCTCTCCTCCCTCTCCTCCCTCTCCTCCCTCTCCTCCCTCT